GGAAAAATCGAAAATTTTTTTTTTCGCGGAATTTCGACAAATACTTCGAATATAAGTTGTAGGTGATACTATTACCTATGAAAAATTTGAAATCACTATAATTTTAGATTTTTAATAGTAATAGGAATCTGTAATAACAAATTCAACATGCCAGCATTGTTTAAGTGTATAGCCTATACATCCTTAAAGTAATGAACGGAACGAATCCTCACTTTGTATTTGAGTATTTAATTAAATCTTTTATTAAAACTTACCCCGTTCTGTAGGCGATGCATTTGCAGAATATCCGGAAATGGAATCAGAAAATTAGGATATTAATATTGATTTCAAGATCCATTGAAAAGATATAAAATATTTAAATGAATAAAGCGTTCAGATATTACGCGGGTCACAAATATTCGCGATGCCTGTCTTATTGTAGTCTAATGTCCTTAAAAATATACTTTGTTGATGCACTTATTATTTTATCGCGACGACATTGTTAGAACAAATAGTACGAGCGGATTAAGAAATATTAATTCATAGTAAAATGTCTAAGATTGAAGTAATAAAAAATTCGAGATTACGAAAACTTAGAAATGTCACTTACCGTAGTCTCGTTCACGCTTTTGATGTAATCCTTGTACGTGCCCGCAATCAGTTTCACGATGTTCTCGTCGCCGTGTTTGGCCGCCCAGTGCAAAGCCGTCTGAAACAGCACCGCGAAGAACAACGTGAAATAAAAAATCGTTATTATTCTGTGTAACACTATGAAATCCACGGATCGTAAAAGTGAAACGAAGACGTGTAAAATGGGTGAGAAAGAACGGGAGGTAGGAGGAAGAGGAAGAAGACTGTAAAAATACGCGAGCAGGGAAATTTACGGGCGAGCGTCACGAATATTTCGGAAAAATCGCGACCGGTGGCCCGCGTTGTAGACACGACGCGAGCAGCTGTAGCGTATTTTCAGCTACCGATGAAATATTCGCGAATTAAGCAACGGCACCCGGTCGCGCCGCGTCGTGCGGGGAACGAGCTGGATGAATGGCGACGTCGGACAGCACTCGAGAGAGAGGAGAAGGAGGTGGAGCACTTTGAGAGCAGTCGATCACCGCCGAGGAACTCACCACCGGAGAGGACGGAGAACGACGACGAAACTTGCCTCATGAAAGGCCACATTCGCCGTCGTCGAATAATAATAGCTACGATTAAACTATTTGATAGATACATATAAAATATCCTTTTCTCAGCTTTCTAATCTGTCCAGTTAGAGTCATTCATTATTTAATTTATTGTAACGTTGTATAGACTTTGATCAGAAAATTCGCTAGGGAAGTTACTTAACATCAGAACAAGAAGTTGTACCTATATTTTTCACAATGACAATGATTTATTTTTTTAGGGGGATGTAAATGGAATTAGTAAACGCGATCACTTAGGACGTTGTGTGTGTTAAAATAATTAGCGAGTAAAATGTAAAGAGGTGAATTTTAAATAAGAAATAACAGGCGAGTTTAGCGAAATGCGTTTTAGCGATGAATAATGTCCGAGCTAGCTTGTTTTGACATCGAGTCGTTTAAATGACCCGGCTATTTCCATATAGCGGGTCTATCCCACTTGCGGATTATTTTGTGAGTATATACATTATTATTATTATTCTTTGCAAGTTAGCCATGACAGCTCGTAAATTCAATACCTCCGGACACAGATTTCGCGAAAAACGCGCGGACATTTGTGCGCAATTCATTCGTAAACAGATGAAACATAGCTGCGATGTTTCGAGAGTAGTTTCTTTTGCAGACTTTCTATATCGCGACGATGAAACAAGGATAAAAAAACGAAATCTTTTTATAGGATTTTCATATATTTATCCTCATTTACGTATGATAGAGTGACGAAATACTTAAAGCTGACACTAGGATGTCAAAAAATGTTAATCGCGGTTCTTTGAGTTTGAGGAAGGAAAACCGAAAAGAAAGCCGTGAAACTGAAAAGCTGCAACAGCCGAAAAAAGAAGAAAAGAAACAAGATGTCCGTCGGCTAACAGCCAGAAAGAACCAGGATTATGGTCGAGCGTATGGTAGGATGGCGAGATCCGCTAAGAGAGAAATATACGACCCGCGTCGGGGATATACTAAGCAAACGGCCTCGGTGCTCCCGGGTACGCATGCATTTTAATTCCGTCAAGTCCGCGTCCCGTGGGTAGATTAAAAATAGTGCCCAGATTCGCGGGTGGACGTCACGGAAACTCGTGGATGACCGTCCTCCACCTGATCCAGAGCGAGAGAGGAAGAAGGAAAGAGAGAGCGTAGAGCCACCGGGTCCCGGACCGTCTGCACCGGTACCAGAGACAACTTGCAGGCCACCTCATTAGTGGCGGAAAAACTCATCCTAACGAGGCTACGTACCTAATGACGAGAACCACGCGCGCGCGGTCTTTTTCGTGTACGTACGCCTATTTACTCAGCCCGCGTATTGGTACGTATCCGTGTGTCCACGGTGGGTCATCCTACGTTCCGCGTTTCAGTTTGTGTGCGGCCACGTGTGGGGTGCACCTTGTGCGCCCTATATGTGCGCTGACTTCACCGGCAAATTAACGAGCGACGCACAGAGAGGATATACGACCTCCCGTTTGATATTAGAGGCACGTGGCGCCAATACCGTTGTTCAACCAGGAACCACTCTCCGATGGAAATCTGTGGTCATTACTGCGTGGTAAATACCGATCGGAGAAACGTTGGATAGCGAACGATTTATGTTTGATTTACGGATTAATTTGTCTTGTGCGAAATAATTATTCTATTCACCGGTCGTAATGGTAACCAGTCGTTTCCCAGGAATTACTTTTCTCGCAAATGAAGCTGATGGAAGTCAGCGAACAACAGCGGTAACATCGTCACAGCGACTCAGATTCGCGGAAGAAGGCGCAATGAATCTCATTTACGCGAAACCGAGGTAAAGGAGGCTGCGAGCACGCAAATCAAGATTAGGATCAAAACCAGGTGCGACAGACGAATGATCAGCGGCGGAGGAGCGTGTACGCAGGGCTCTCGTCTAATACGGTCAGCCGTGGAATAGGTGTTCAAGAACACAGGGGGTGAAAATTACATGCGCGGGGAGCGAAATGAATTTTTACGCCGGAGCAAGAGGGTTGCAGCTAGAAGCCAGAGCGCGTATCTCCACGCAGTGCCGTATTATAACGTCGCGTCTACTTGCAGCCTGCTTAACGAAGTTTTATGAACCGCGATAGCGCCATACCTGCGCCGTCGCGTCGCGTCGTCGTCCCGTGGACTCTTTGGCGCTCCTTAATTTGTGAACGTTGGCGCGCGGACTTCGCAACAGGCAGAACGCGCACACAGTGTCTGTCGGCTGTGCCGCGAAAGAATGGTATGTCGGCCGACAACGTGATATATCTTCGGCCCCGGGTGCCCTGGGCCTTCGTCGCACGGGGCTGTACTCGTATACACAGTAGCTTCGTCGTCTTCACGCTCTTTACTACCGATTCCCGCCACGTAAATGTATTCCCTCTTCCCCCGGTTTTCAACGGCTACCTCGTCATGCGTGAGAACGCTCGCGTCGATGTTTGACCCTCTCCAGGAATCTCGAGGCGATTTACCTTTGTTCCGCGACCTAGCGTCAGCCTCCGGTGTATTTTCTTCCTGTTCTGTTATCTGTTCGATTAACACAAGTTCTACGTCTGAGCAGTAGATCGATTTTGTGCAAAACGTAGCAAGTTCAGACAACCGGCGAAGTATTCTGCGTTGACGCGATTCGCCGATATCATAATCAAATCTCTGGGTTGGAATTAATTAGTGTATTCCGCGGTCGGTCTCCGTCGGTAACGGGCAAAGGGACGGATGCCGCGCCGGTTTTCGTGTATGCGCGCGGAAACTATGTTGCCGTGAGTATATAGTTGTCTCTCCTCTCGTGGGTACTGATTAAGCTAACCGGAGGACCGCTCGGAGGCACGGCGAGAGCGGCACAGAGCGGAGAAGAGAAAGAGGGGTTTGCAACAGCAGCAACGGCAGCAGCAGCAACAACGGCAGCCAGCTACCGCGGGGCTCTGATGTATGCGAGCGATACAGATATCTCCGGGAAGGAATTTGCGTTGAATTAGCGTATAATCGGCGGGCCGATCTGCTCATACGGAATCCCGCGGCCCCGCTTACACGTGTCCCGAGAGCTGTATTCTCTGCGCGAACACAATATTTAGTGGCCGTCTCCTTTAGCCCGTGGCCCCTTTTACCTCCCTTCGGCTCCCGTGGGACCCCGTCGCCGGCTGGTATGCGGACTCCCCTTAAAATCCGCGGCCCGATCCCCGGGCCCGAATATTTGCCGCGTTCTCGCGAACCCCTGCGCTCCCCGAGTTTCATCAATCGCGGACGAGCCGCTGATTAAAGCGCCATTATCGGATGCGATCGACCGGAGTTTCTCCATATTAAGTCGCGGTTCGGAGGCTTCGGATTGTTCAGACGCGGCACCGTACGCGGTTTTCGGCTCGAACGGATCTCGAGTCGCGAGGTACACGCACGCAGAGGATCGTCGGGCCGCTGGAGAAGAGACGCGACGCGACGCGGTTTCGCCCGCGGCATCCGGGGACCGCGTAATTGGATCCTTGTTAAACGGGACGACCCGAGGGAACTTCGGAGCGAACGTGACTATCTCCTCTCTTCTCTCTGCTTCTCGATGTTCGAGAAATTTTCTATTTGACGGTTGAAGAACGCATGATTTAATGTACCGCGGTTCCGCTGTTGAACAAACTTTACAACAACGACGTAGCTTTGTGCAGAGAAGTTACCACAACCCGTTTCTTCTTGGTAAAAGTTTCAACAAGTTATATTAATTCAACTGCAGAGGTATTTTACGTGAAACGTATTACCATAAACGTATCTGTGGTATAATTATTCACAGACTGAAAATAGATGCCTGGATCGTCGAAAGCAGTCGCGGATTAAAAAACCTTAGCGACTTTGTTGGGATTTCGGAGATCATAGAATGTCCGTTTCCACGAACTCGTCCCACGATTACCCTTTTGAGATTCAAGATGCCTGGAGACCACGACGCATAAATATGATCGCGACCGATCAAGATACAAATTGACGAAGTAGTATCGTGTCCGGTCGATCGAGAGGGGACGCACGGGTCTCATTCGCGAATAATCGGGCCCGTGGATGTCTCTGTTTCCTTGGAATCGTTCGTAGTATAAGTAGATTCCCCGGCCCTAGGAACCTCAGGGGTCTTAACTGCCCCGTTCATCTCTGGACGTCTAGCGAGCGGGGGCAGGAAGCCGGCCGGCCGGCTCTCTCGTGGTCGCTCGCGGTGGGTCCCAGATCCTGGCGGCGATTCGATCTCTCGAAAACCGATTCTGGGAAATCGAAGGGAGACGTCGGGCGCGTGTCTTCCTCCTCGGCGAAGGTGGAGGAACAAAACCATCGAGAATGAAAGAGAGGAGAGGAGAGAGGTAACGAGCCTCCAGTCACGTGTACGGCGTCGGGCGTCAAGATGTCAGATCTATCGGCGCGTGCTCAGTGGCGCGTGTCCTCGCCTGTTGATCAGCCCCGACACGTCTATGCTCGACGCGTACCCATCGGCTAGGCCCAAAGATCGAGTCTATTAGTCACGATTTCCCCTTTCCTCACCGGAACTGCAATACAAATTCTATTACTTCATTTGGCTTTCGCTCCCTTTGACGTTTTAGTTCAACATTCAATAACCGAACTTATTTGTCAATTTATGAACAGTACATGAGATTCTTAGAAAATGTGAATAAGCACTGCATAATAAAATTGGGTTCCCTTTTTTTAAATAAAGAAATCTGATTCCCATACTTCCTAAGATAATAACCGTATAGTTGGCGAGATTGAAGAAAAACGGGACGGGGGTGAACAATATTTCTTTCTCGCGCCGCGGTACACAGCCTGAGTACGGGTGTAGCCGCTGTTGTTACGTCGCCTCGCGGGCCTCTCTCGTGGCCGTTGTTCGCTCAGGGGAAATGTCCGGGTAAGAGTGTTTTATTTCCTGCAATTGCGTCAAGGAGGTGTGTTGGTTGTAACATAAAAAGAAGAAGTGGCGTGCCACCAGGAAGTTTCGTGGCCCGCGCCAAGGATACACGGACAGACACACAGGATGCGGGAGGTGTCATTAGCATAGCGCGGAAGAGCCATGCTTTATGATTTATTCGGGCTCCCGTTCTTGTTAAGTCCGTTCTTTTCACTCGTAATTCCAGTTGCACGCCGGGTAAACACGACCCCGGCCGCAATCCGTACCTACGTACGTATGTAGATCTATCCGACAGACGGAGAAAAAAACGGAATTCACTTTCGTCCGCGGATGCGTATCTCCAGATATCTGTACATCCTGGCGAGCCAAGGTAATATTTAACACGGTTCAGCCCGACTTCGATCCCAGCGTCACCGTCTGACTCACCACGGTGTCCAGTATTTATGCAAATGATTACCTGCTGAGATTGACACTTAACGACAAGATACATAACTGTAATAACGATAATCTTGTCATTCGATTGAACGGGGTTGATGGTAATCGATGATACGTTTAAATGATTTTCGAGCTTCTTGCGACATTCGAAACAGCTCGGGGCGAACCGTTCACCGCGGACGGCCGAAGGAACGATACGCACTGATTGCTGGAAATGGGACACTCGATTGTTCCAGCAGCAGCCCCCGCTGGCCACTCGGCTCGATAGCATTCTCTTTTACACCGCAATCACAATGTTATCCGGGCGCTGTCGAGCCTACAATTTCAATCCGGC